AGAACAAGACCAATGGCACATGGGGCGATACGGAGTGGAACGATGTTTTTCGACGGCGACTGTTTTGAGGGAAGCAGACATGAATATCAGAGTCGTCTTGAAATATGACGCTAGTTTTAGCACTTACTGAACAAGACGGTAAGAGTCAGCGCAGCGGTAAGGAAGGCCTCAATGACGACACCCTGGGCGGGTGAGATGGAAGGGTGAAGAGAGCAGTTTACTGCCAGTTTGCCGGGAAGAGAGTTATTCAATCCAGCCGCTGCGATACTTCCTAGGATCTTTGGAAGCAAGACAATTAAATTATGTCAGCTGAGTCTGACCGTGGTAATGGAATGGTTTAACTAGTTGCAACGTACCTCAGCACCGACGTATAGAACAAATCTCCTGTATTAGAACAAACAAGACATGATGTGTCAGAAATGCAAAATATTTCATACTGGGTCAGGGTCAAACGGGAGATGCCTTACATTGGACTGAGGGCACCCGTGAGGAGAAGAGCAAGCGCGATGTTAGGATTGAACACACTACCAGAGACGCGAAAGAAAGTCCAAGCCGTTGCAAGGAGAGCAAGTCCCATGCTATGTCACAAGGAATGAAAGTGATCAGCCATGCGGCTGATTGAAAGCAGAGTGGATGCTTCTGGGAGCGGCGAGGTGATAGGAGCTACTTACGACGTCGCTATGTAGAGCAGCTGCTGCATGCTGGCAGTTTTGATGGTAGATTCCTCAGATGTTTCATGAGCTAAGTTGGCGGTTGCCGCAGCTTGGATTCCACCTAAACCAAGAAGAAGAAAAAGCAATGTCCCTGCGAAATGGAAAATGGTTTAGTTATTCTGTGAAAGACTTCAGAGTTGATGAACCAAAATGCGAACCCATGAATTCCACGAGCGCGGCCAAAAGGTCGTCTGTTTGCGCGAGAGAAATGGATCAGGTAAGTGCATTGCCCGGAACTTCGGATTAACTGAGATGTCAATAAAAAAAAAGAAAACCAACACTTTAACTGGCGTAAAAACTTTGTCGCGCCCATTTCTGAGAAGTGAATAGTGTTGAAGACTGATGTTTTACTAGCTACTTGTGCAGTCTACGGGGGTACTGGCTTGCGATGAGGGTTGGAAAAATAATCCTAAGAATCAAGATAAAGGTTTGAAATGATACAATGTGTTCGAAGATGTGATAATATTTACTGTTGAGTTAACTATTTACTATTCAATGCAGGATGAAGGCCTTTTGTGGTGGAGGGATTTTATGTGACAGAAAGTGAGGGAAGCAGGTGAAGGATGAGCGTTGGAGGAATGTCGCAACCAAAACCTCTAGCATATAAGAGTCGCAGCGTTGCACAATCGGGAACCGTTGGTTCGTCATGAGATAACTGCATGGACGTAGGGATTGATGGGGACACTCTTTCAGACCCTTACGGCGAATACAGCTTGCGGATAAAATGGTTGTTAAGACAATATGAGAAGTCATGCAACTATGTACCATTGTCACCCAACTCTGGATGACTCACTCGACCACCTCTGTCTAACAACTGCCAAAAGTAGCTGTTTTGTGAGGTAAATTGTAAGATTTTCCAATGAAAACATACATAAACTTAGCTCTGCTCAGGCAAGAGCAGCTGACTAGCAGCAGGCTACGGGGAGAGTGCCTTGCCATCGCCGAGGAAAAAGAACTGGCCCTGCGACTCTGAAGCTCCATCTGATTAGAGTGTTTCCAATTTCCCAGGGTAGATAAGTGACTAAATACCAATGCCTGGTCAATTGGTGAATAGGAAGATCGGCCACCAAGGTCTGGCCTCTGGCCTCAGTAAAAGCACCGGAACACCTGTGCCTCGGAGTCGGGCCAATGTTTTTCTGAACAAGGCTTAGGCAACCAAAAACGAGGGCGGTTGGGTATCGCCGTCGGGAATGCAAGAAGAGCGAGTCGCAGGACTGGAGGTGGCGGAACGGCAGGCGCCGAATGCCGACAGGTGGCAATTGTATTCGAATTTCCGCCTGGGTCGCTCGCCGTCTCCACAGACCCCAAAGCGTTTACCCATTGCAGTCGCTGTGTGAGTCTATCTAATGTCGCGCGACCAAGATCACCATCCAATCGCCAACACCTTGTTACGGGATAGAAACGTTTGATAACGGAGGATCGTCACGGATTATCTCAATCCCACGGCCCCTGACCTCCCTAGCGTCGCGGGGCGAAACTCCGCGAAGGACTTGAGTCGAGCTAAACGCAAGTCCCCTTGGGGTCGCTTATGGCCTGGAGGTGCCAATGTCCGAATTGAATCCAAGGTGCTGAGGTAGCTTCAGCAAAGAAGCGCCATAAGATTATCCATCAAAAGAGGGTGAATGATCATCGTGATATTTCCATCACATCTGCAAATGTCATGAAATGTTGATGATGTGCATGGTCAATAAAATAACCACGTCCTTGCAGCTCTATTATTGCTTTGATTGAAATATACCAATTGGGAGAAGTGCTGTTGCAAAATCAAAACCTTTTTGCTATCACTCATAGTCATACCTATGATCTTGCCACTTTTCATCCAGATTGTGTTTTGGGTATCACAGTACCCAGTAACCATATTCCAGTCTCAACACGTGTAATTTCATCTTTTTTGATCAATTCAATTATTAGACATGATTAAATTCCATGAGTAAATTCATTTTTGATCATCCATATCTTGACACACATTTTGTATTTTCTGTTTAAATTCATCTGGCCCTTAGGCTTGAGCCATCTACACGAGTCATCAGCTTCCAAGATTCAACTTCCTGTCAGTATAAGTTTTTTTTGATGTACCAATTCTGAAACTAATTTTTGAATCTTATTTGGTAATGAGAACCCAATTTCAATTATTGTTGACCACCAAGTGGAGCTTTGGTTTTAGAATCTAAAAGTTGCAACCAAGAGAGTTAAATGGGAGAAATAAAGGAATTCCAGTTATCTAGGTTTTCAATCTAGAAGGAAGTCTTAATCATTGGGTGCTGTTGAAAACCAATTGAGATCAAATTTTCACCAGCAAATCAATTGCAGGACCCCTCAGTCCTGCAATTCCCATCAAATCTGAAGTCCTTGCAGACAACAACATGGCTCCAAAAAGTCCAAATTTTTGCAGAGAAATCTAGCTTTGGCAGCTACAAATCAATTCTGCCACTGCAGTGGGGGGTTCCAGACCTTGATGGGAAGCCCCAGGTTGAGGGTCCTCTGATATATTTGGACCTTTCTCACCAATTCAGTTAGTTGTTTAGTTCATCTTGCAGTATGCCCTGAATTGTTGTGTTGCACACCTAGCACATTTTTCTTCATGAAGACTATGCAGCACATCCCTTACCCCATGTAATTCATTCCCCATAGCACTCTTCATGATTGTGCATCCTATAAGCATCACTGGATATCCCAGATGTCTATATGAATATTTAGGAAGAATGTTGGGGACTTCCATCAAAACATGTGGGCCTCCCTGAACCCCCTGAATAAAGATAGAGCCTCACAAGGTAGATTTTCCTGTGAAAATATAGATTTTGACACCCCACATCAACTCTGGGGGCCCCACATATCTTTCCAGATGTGTTCCATTGTCCTACTTGTCATTGGACGACTTCCCGTCAACATCTGCTGGTCTCCCAGAGCTGGTTTAGAGCCACAAAATTCAAATTTCCCTGCGAGAATTAAGAATTTTCGGGTCTAGATCAACCTCTGCGAGGGTCCCAGATCCGACAGGAAGTCCTCCATTCTATTTTAAAATTTCAATGTGCAAGCTGAGGAAAGGTGCTATGTTGCATACAATGTCAAAGAAATAGCAGTGCTTATCTTATATCCTGTTGCTTCCTTTGGTGCTATGAATCTACATATAACTAAGAGAATAGGCTCAGAGAGGCAGACAAAGTGTCATGCAATCTAAGCTGACATTGACCTCCAATTCACATTTTTTGACACCAACATTAGACCAAGATGGGTGTCCAGTTCACGCAATATCTCCAAAAGGGGCAAAAGGTCATTGGGTACCCCCCCCCCCCCCCAACATTCAATGCAAAAACAAGGTCAGCAAGTCAAACTCCCCAATTTTGGGGGCAAACACTAGTTTTAAAATATGGTGTTCCAAGTTGCTTGACATGCACAATTTTTTGGTTTGTTGAAATGTTTTGTAATTTTGGCGGGGACTTGTCAAATTGAGCCATCTGGACAGGACCCTCCCAAAATTACAGATTATGTGTGTGGGGTACAAATTACATAAGCAATTGTGAACACCATAAATCCATAAATTTCTATTTATGTAGCTGCCACTGATCCAGCCGGCCCCACTACACACGCCAAGCAGCAACAATCGTCAGGAACCATGTCGTACTTTCTCCCACATTTACCCTCCGGATGGCACGTCGACCAAGCTATCCTGGCTGAAGAAAATCGGGTGGTGATCATCAGGTTCGGTCATGACTGGGTAAGCTCTTACTAGGACCTCACCGAACGTTGCAATCAAACTGACCACACCTTACATACCTTAAAAAAATCACACGCAATAACCGCTCGCATTACGAAAAAACGTCTGTTTCATTACGCTGTCGATCAGGATTCAGAATGTATGAGGATGGATGAAACGCTCTATGGAATCTCAGAAAAAGTGAAGAATTTCGCAGTGATCTATCTAGTAGATATCACCAAAGTACCCGATTTCACGAAGGTCAAGCTGAATATTTGAAATCATACTTGATTCTTCGTTAGCCGAACTGATGATGATCCTCACGTTGTTCTTGAACGAAATCTTCAGATGTACGAATTATACGACCCTTGCACAGTTATGGTGAGTAAGATCAGGCTGATCTTCTTTTCATCGCAATCGATCTTTGTGGTCAAGTAGGGTGGACTAAAAAGAATTCACACGACATTGTGAAGTTCTTTTACAGAAATAAACATATCATGATTGATTTGGGAACGGGGAACAACAATAAGGTCAGCAACTGAAAATTTTGAACAGGGAGTTGACTTAGTCTCAGACGTAGATCGTTTTCCGCATTAGATCAATTGGGCGATGGACGACAAACAAGAAGTGAGCTCTGAAACCCAATCACAGTATCATACTCTCGGTTATAATCGCCTTTCAATTCGACAAAACGGCTCTAATGTTTCCTTCTTCTTGATTTGGTTTGTTGACGACTCTGCACTAGTTGATTGATATTGTGGAGACGATCTATCGAGGGGCGAGTAAGGGACGAGGTCTGGTAGTTAGTCCCAAGGGTAAGTTGTCCCATTCAACTACCTAAATCATCCTCTCCAGTTGTTATTTTTGTAAGCTGACTTGATCAAAATGTGCCTCATATTTTCAGATTATTCAACTCGGTACAAGTATTGTCAGTGGTTTTCATATTACCAACTCAACATCCCGCCGCTAATTATTGAATACTCCCAATTACTGACAATTCTTTCGGATTTTCAACTCTTCTTTTGCAACAACGACAACAGAGAAACAAGAAAGCTTCTCTTGTTGTGTTTTTCTTGATTTTATCCATCCTCGTATTACCATCCTGCTTTTGTTTGTCAATGAATGTGCTTTTAAGTATTGATTTTTCCATCGGAAGAAAATTGTAACAAAAATGTCAAGTGCTTTCAGGAGCTAGACCAGTGGAAGATGCATCTGTTTCTCTGGGATCATATCTCTCAAGTAAAGCCGCAGTGGGAGATGTTCAGGTTTATACCCTGTCATCTTACAGCTGCGAATTAGAGATCGGGGTGGTTTTGCTTGCCCTGACACCAATTGGAAGATTTGTAAGATAGTTGTCAGAGGAAGCCTCATCCAGTGACTTACAAGCATGCAAAAGGAATCTCAATCCATTACATCAAGACAAACTAGCAAACAAGCTTACAAACAGGTTGCTGCTCTGTCATCGCTAGTCCATATCACTCATCAGTCGTCAACTCAACTTGTTGATTTTATGTTCTTGAATTGAACCATCGGGCGATTGCTATAACGTTTTGAATTTGATTTGCGGCGCCAGATTTGCGAGGGGGATACCTTACCTTCCATGAATTCCAGACATAGTATACTGCACGGCTTTAATTACAAAGAGAAAAACTGTTGTAGTCACTCTACATCAAATGAAAAATAGAATCCTTCTCTTTACAGAAATATTATCGATAAATGAACGATTCATGGTGCGGGATTAGCATCTTGAACGACTGGATCGCCTTTTGAGTCTTCTTTCAGTGCGTTTTCTTTGATCCAAGTTTCATCATCCCAAATAGCTCTGTTATTTGGATTTGAGAACCCCTTAGCATCTGCTTTTTGATTGTTGTTGTGAAAGCTGTTTCTGGCCAAGTTGACTTTCAAGATCTTTTCTGAATCGGAGGAGAGTAGGTTTAGATGCATGTTATCGATGGCGTCTAATGCTTCAATTTGATCTTGAAACGTGATAAACGCGAAGTTTCGGTTGTTGCCTGGTATCAAAATGTCCAAAGTTTGGTGTTAATATTCCGGGTTTGGGTTAAGCGAAGGAGAATAGAATGATCTTTTGATCGATGATACAATATAATTTCAACTGACGCGATTGGGGATCAGTTGGGATTTGAATATCACGGATATTGCCGAAGGGAGAAAAGCTAGAATGAAGTGCTTCGGCGTTGATATTTGGTGGGATGTTACCTGTTGAGGACGTTAGACCAGCATCGCCAAATATCATGAGTAGGGTCATGATGCAGCACATTCAAGATATTAAGAAGTTGAGCAGGCAGACAGCACGTTGTAAGACTCACCGACGAAGATCGTCTTATTGTCTGATGCTTCCTTTGGCATGTTGTTGTCTCGTTGGTGTTGGTGTTCACTCGATGATCCCTGTTGGTCCCGGTGTCAAGGTGGTTGGTCGATGGCCGTACCGTTGCGGCGTTGGCTGGCGTTGCCTATTAAGTTTTGAGGTGTGTTCGGGTAGTGTGGCTACAGCCGCATCTGCTCGGGGCCCCGCAAAGTTCGAAGGCGGGACTCAATCTTCCTTCAAATCAATAGCACTTTAAAAAAAACACCCCTGTCGACTGACAACTGGCTATTCAATAGCCCTCGTACACTGAGTACGAAGGCTATACAAGGTCATCTGAGATGACCCTCGCCGTCCCTCGCCCCGCCGGCTGAGGTTTACATAATCAGCTCGTCCGAACTCGCAAGCAAAGCTCCTTCGGCTTCCATCGCTGCGCAACCGCAGGGCATCAGAGCATTGCACAGCTGCTGTCATCGGCATCATCAGTCCCAAATCCCACCCGTGCACCCTTGTACCTCAAAAGATGTTCGACAACCGATCCAGCTCTAGGTTCTCATTCCGATTGGACACTCGGATACCGGAGAAGGAGGCGTTGAACATGAAGTTCTTTTAGATGGCGGTGATGGTGAAGATGACAAAGAGCTTTGGGTGCAGGCTGTTTTCTAATGATCAGGTAAGCGTAAACTTGTGTCAATCGTTGGCTAGTTTTTTGATTCTTCCCACTTGCTGATGACCTCACTTCTGACTCTGATTGGATCTGCTTTGTATAGGGAACCTCACCCGTTTCGCCAATTGTGTCACTGTCCTAGAGCTCGCTCCCTTGTCAATTCAGTAAAGAAAATTATACAAGGCTACATCCTTGGATTGAATACTTGTTCATTGTTACCCTTGAGAGCTGCCACTGAGCTGATTTTTCTTACTTGTCAAGCTTCTTCCTCAATCCAAATCTAAGTACAAGCCTGAGGTTTTTGGGTGTATCAGGTCTATCTCCTTATAATTGTGTGGCTGATTTGGAATCCTCTTGGATGTACCACCACCAGGAAAAAAAATGTGGAACTTTTATAGAGGTGCCTTCACTTATCTCTTGCCTAACCTGGCTATATCCAACCTGTATCTCATCTGTATCCCCACTTTTTGAAGCATTTATCTATATATTTTTACAATTTCTATGATTCCACCACAATTGAAGTAGTTCCAAATATATATTTCATAATTTTGGAAATGATAAGAAAAATTCTTAGTAAATTCAAGAAAGACAAAATTCAGATGATAAGATTCATTCATATAAATGGATACAAGGACAAAACATCCCAGAAAGCTCGAAATTCATTGAATTAATTTGCTATCTTGATAAAATTTGTATTATTTGATTCAGGATATTTGTAACACTGCTGAGTAAGAAGTACAGTGGGAATAGAAATAAATTTATATTTATATCCTGAGTGAATTAATCTATTTCCATTGAAAAATACAATACAATTTCTCCCCCCTGATTTGTGAAGATTCATACCCCCTGTCCCCATCTCCCCTCTGCTTGCCATTCCATTTTCAGCCCTCTGGACCCTATGAATATGTGCATATCCAGTTTTATATATTTCATAATTATCTTGATGAGGATCTGAAAATTCAAATTCTCATATCTGGGAGAGTCCTGATGATGTGTAATTTTCATATTATTATGTTACCAATAACTTTTAAATTTCAGAAATAGTTACAATTAAATATGGAGATATGGTTTAGTCAAAAATGAGAAAAATTCCTGATTGAATTTAGCTTTATTGATGAAGAAAAATGTATTTATAATCTTTTGATTATTTTTTTGATATCAAGTTAATTATAAATATGTAATAGTCTCAACCAGAAAAGTTTTATATTTTTACTGATCAGAATGAATTGAAGCTGGTCCCATATAGGTAAAACAGCCCAAAAATATGTCTTGAAAAGGAAAACATGACAATCTATGAAGATAAACTTAGGGGGGAAAACCATTTTTTCCTGAAAGTATCATCCAAAAAAATAACTTATATTCAAGTGTTCTTGTGCTCATCATCCTTGTAGCCTGTGTATTGATTGCCTCAATAATTGAAATTGCTCATTTGTAATCTTTGTCAATGTTTGGTTTCCCAGCCATGAATTCTGATGGCATCTAAAATTATAATTTTCAATATGAAAGTTCAAAGTTTCCCAAAAAAAGAATGAATTATTTCTACCCAATTGCATTCTACTAATTTTAAAAATTACAGAGGTCTCAGGAAATGAATAATAATTAATATATTTTATTCAGGAGTTGGAGATTTCACTCTGTGCTTATTAAATTTGGTGGGCATGGTAAAAATTGGTAACATGTGTCCTCTCTGCAGAATCATTTTCTTCAAGGTAATCTGGTTCCATTAAATGGAGTTGATATTTGGTGGTTCTTCTGGAGAAGGATGGGGGGATTTGAACAAGAAGCTTAAGGGGGGCTTTATTATCCTAGATTTAAGATTGGTGCATACCCCTGAAAATATCTTTCAAGCAATTGCATCCAAAGTGTATAGTAAAGCTGATGGCTTACCAAACTGCATTCACAGAAAAAACTGTGCATGTATTTTACAGCAATAATAGTTTTGTATGGTCTGACCCCATGAGATACATATGATTGGAATAAATATTGCCACAATTTCTACATTCAAATCAAACAGACATGCCTGTGGTTGATCATTAAACTTGTACACTCAGCACAATTGATGTGTTGATCATATGCATAATTGATTTGAGGGATTTTTGGGTCCTCCATGATTGATTTTTGTAGGTGTTTCCTCTGCAAGGGTAAACTTATGATGATCAATATGAGTTAGCAACTGAAAACCACACATGGTGCAATCTTCATTACATATCATATGAATTTGTCACTTCTTATCCTGCATCAAAGACTTAATGATGCTGGATGACACATCAAACTCATCAAACTGTGCCTCTTATTTAAGTGGTTCTTCCAAATTCAACTGAGTTCAGGATCTTGATTGATACCATAGTAAAATTAGTGTTCATGCTATTGGAATCGGGAGTGGAATTACCTGGAAGTTATACCATGTGATTTATGATGAAAGCTGGGTGACCTGACTGTCTAAGTCTTCAGCAACATTTTATGTGAAACAAAGTTACAATTTATTAACCACATAAAAATGCAAAATTGATTTACACACTGATCTTGAGAGTTAATTGTAAGGTCTGAATTCTGGGGAGGGGAAAATTCAGGTATCAAATATAATTTGTCTGTGAATTCTCTGTATCAACTTCCTATCCACCATGTATCCATCCCTTGATTACATGGATACAGGGAGAATATAAAAGAGTTATGCTTTGTGTCCCTGCCTCTAAATGTGCCACCTCTAAACCCTAGTAACTACAAACAGTTTCCTACTGCCCCCTCAGAGCCAAAAATGATTGCCAAGCTATAAAAAGAGATTAAAAACATCAGATTAGTAGCCAAGAATTCACAGAATTCATCCTAAGAATCTTAAACTCTCTTTGCAATCAGGTTTACAAAACTTGCATCAACTTAAATGATCAAATCAACCTTTGGGTCCCTGGGAAGTTGGCCTAAAACAACCCCACACATCAGCTCATCAAGAAATCTGGTATAAGTATTCATAAGCTGTGAACTGCTTCTGGCTTTGCCAATGGACTCCTGCTGGTGCCTAAGGTGGAAAAAATCCTCGCCAATGCACTGGTGGCAGTGGCTGCCTAGCTTCTAAATTTTGCAACTCAGAAATGGTGAATGTATGAATGCTACTTTTCCAATCTCTTTGCATGAGTGTGTCGCGCAAGGTGATCGTCTGGTTGAAGGTGAAGCAGCATGTATGATGTAGAAAATATTAAGTCCGCCGGGCTTGTCTCATTGAACGTGTACTGGTGGTCTCAGAAAACCCTTATTCTTTTTATTTTGTCCCAGATCCCAAGAATGGGACAGTACAACACTCCTTAAGCCCGCCGGGCTTAATCGCGAATGTACAGCACCTGAACAAGAATCAAGAGGCAAAATCTGGT